AATACATGAAAGGAAGCTTGTTATTTAGGGAAAAGGAAGGTGAAAGAAGAGCCTATAAGCAATAATGTCAGTTCTTATTCAAGCAGAACGCTTTCATTTTGTTCCATTTTGTTTACCAGTGTTCTTATGAAAACTGCTGTTAGGAGCACTTCAGTTAAGGTGATTTGACTCTTTTTTGTGGCTTTCCTCTTGTATTGTACATTAGCACTGTGGTTATTACACTAGCTACTAAGAACATCTCACATGCCTTTTGCATATGAGCACTCAGTGCAGACCAGGCAATGTCTCACATTCCCTAAAGATTTTAAACAAGTTGCAGAAAGAATTTTGGAGCACATTCTTGTAAATTGCTCATAGTTAAGTCTTTTTTTTGTTTTCTTGAAATGACAGGAGGAAGTTGCATATTTCTTTCCTTAAAGGTAATTCTTCAACCTGTATCCTTAGGAAGGATCAGATCATTTTCCCTGGGTAGATTTGGTTCCTCAGATCTGTTCCTAGTGGGCAGAACAATCAGAACTCTTCATAATATTCCCTAATGATGATCAATGGACTGACGTATCAGAAGACCCCTTTCTTCAGAGCTCAGCTACATAAAATTCTGCTCACGAAGGTGAATCTTTACTTTAGTAGGCAGTCTTTTAATATTCTGTAATTTCAGTTCAGTTTGGCATGGCCACTCCTCATATCCTTCTATAAAGCTGATTTCTTTAAGCTAGTGTCCTTAATAATTTGTTTTCTTTTCCTTCTGCTGGAAGAGAAAGAATGCATAGTGTATGACGGTTCACCAAATATCTGTGGTGGTTGGTAGCAGGGGTTTAGAAAAAAATGCAGCAACACATAGATGATAGTTCCCAGTCATGTGGGTTTTGCTTCATTTTCTTTTGTTTGATGCCTCCTTGCAGCAAAAAAGAAGTTGAAGCTGTTTGCTTTTAAGTTCAGAGGAATCTAATTAGGGGTCCACTCTGTTCCCATAAACCACTGTGCTGAGACCTTTTTGAGGAATTTTGAAAAATGAAAGCATATTGCTTACTGTTATTAGGAAATCTTTTAAATAAATAAATAAAAGGCCAGATAACTCTTCTTTGATCTTCCTAATAACATGGTATGGTTTGTGGTAGAGAGTTTGAAAATGTATTAGATTTGTCTTCGATTCTTTCTTGTGTTCTTGGTAATCATCTGTTTTCCAAAACAGAGAATAAGGTTTTAATATCATGACTTTGGCTGATGTCAGTGGGCCTGAAGTTTCTAAATCACCCAAGCACAACACTAAAAACATTGCTGCGAACTGAGTCCATGACAACTTGGTAATAAGTTGAGTGTTTTTCAAGTAGGTACTTCAGCGTTTTAAACAGATGTCCATGCAAACTATTTATCACTGAGACTCATGACTATAACACAGAGCATATTAAAATTTCAGCTGGGTTGTGGGTTTGGGATCATGTCTTAGTTAATTTAAAAGATAATTCTAACTGATGAATTATATAAGCAGAAGTTACACTTAAAATGTGCTTCTAGTAAAGAACTTTCCACAATAAATTTACTTTTTCAATTATCTCAAATACTGGCTTGAGAAATTGAATATTTCTGAAGTCTATTTAAAAGTGATATAGTGCCACTCCCTTGAAAATTGCCATTGCTTAATTCTCTGTAGGGTGTTGGAACTGGTTGGGAAGAAAGGAACCAGGGAGAGGACAACTTGGAAACAAGTTCTGTCCATAATGTGCTAGTCGGTCACTTTTGCAGATCATAGTTAGTGGCAAGCTGTCAAGCAAATCTACCACCTCCTGTGTTGCCCACAGATGCCTAAAATATTATAGATTTTCAATAAAGCAAAGGAAAAAAATGAACTTTTGTAACTGCAATATAAGACAATAAAGTCGAAAATTGTTTTTAATTTATCACAAATCTGATAAATTTATTTTTTTTCAAAGGATAGAAAATGTTTATAAGGAAATCCAATGAACTTTGAAGGATATGAGAGTTTAATACACTTTTTTTCATTTTGAAAAATATTAGTACAAACTATTATACATGGATAACTTAACAAGCACCCATGTACCCATCACTGAAAATGAAAAAATAGTAACATTTTATCATATTGCTTTGGATTATTTCTCATTTTTTAAGGAATCATTATAGTTAAAGTTGAATTCCCCTATGTTTCCCTGCCTCATTTTTCCTCCTTCCTCCCCAAGGACAAGCACTATCTTGAATTCAGTGTATATGTAGTCCATGTTTTATAATTTCATCTCTTTAATTTTTTTGTTTTTAGTTTACATAAGTGGTACCATATGGTACATCTAATTTTGTAATTTGCTTTATTCTCCTCAACATTGCATTTTGGGGATTCAGCATGTTGAAGCACGTACATCTACTGATCATTGACTGTTAACTCTTTATTTTATATGAATGTATCAAATCTTTTCCACTGCTTAGTCATTTGGGTTATTTCCATCCGATTTCTGTGTATTACAAGCAATGCTACAAGGGACATCCTTATGTGCGTGTGAGTCACTCAGCTTTATTCCAAGAAGGGCTAATTCATAAAGTGGACACATTTTCAATTTTATTAGATGTTGCTAAATTATCTCCAAAGTGGGTATATCAGTTTCTGGCTCCATCAGCAAATGATGAAAGTTTCTGCATCACCATATCCTCACCTGTACCTAGAATTGGCAGACATACTTTGGCCAGTCTGGTCAGGTGTGAAATGGTATTTCTTTGTTGTCTTAGTTTGCATTTCTCTGATTTCTAGAGACTGAGCACCATTTTATGTTGTTAGTGAGTTGCCTGTTTATAGTCTTTGTGTAGTTTTTCTGGTGAGTTGTTTGTCTTGTTTTTATTGTTTTATGAGGAGCTTTAAATATTCCAATGATACTCTTATGTGCACTAGTGCTACATTTCACTTCAGAATATGTGGCTTTCCTTGTCCTTTACATGGATCATTAGTTGTTTTTTTTTTTTTCCTTTTTGAGACCGGCCGCACCGCGCTCAGCCAGTGAGCACTGTGAGCG